GTTGAGGCCATTAATTCGGTACTAAAAGGTACACGCCATCTCCCAATAGCGAGTGTGGTGAAAGAGACGTACTTTAGACTGGGTAAAGTTTGGTCGGACAAAGGCAAGGAAATTGAGAGTCTCATAAATAAAGGTAAAACTTGGGCTCCTACAGTGGTGGAATCAATGGAAGCAAATGAGCGATTGGCAACATCAATGGTTGTTCATAATTTCGACCGAGTTGGTCATACTTTTGTCGTGTCGTGCATACGTCGTAACGTCGGAGGAGAAGACCAAACATTTAGAGTTGATTTACGACACAAATGGTGTGATTGTGGTCGTTTTCAGGCATGGAAATATCCATGTGCTCATGCAGTCGCTGCATGTATGTATGCTGGTGTAAGCGCATACACTTATGTTGATAAATGCTTCCACCTACGTAGGATATTAAATGTCTACAGCTATGTGTTCAGACAGATCCCGAATGAATCATATTGGCCCAAAAAGGATCATGATGAATGACTACCAAATCCAATGCTTCGCAGAAGTCCAAAGGGTCGACCTGAGTCCACTCGAATTCATACCAGTATGGATTTCCATGCTATAAAGAGAGGTCAAGCAAAGAGATGCGGATTATGTAGGGGTGAAGGCCATTCAAAAAACAATTGTCCTAATTTACCAAGATATAGGCCTCATCATTAGTAATCATATATGTATTTCTATGTATTTATTAATCATTATAAAAATTATTTAATAATGATTTAAATATTTAATGATTTGATGATTTAGTAATGATTTGATAATAATCATTATAGTAATGATTTGATAATAATCATTATAATAATGATTTAGTAATAATCATTATAAAAACGATTTAATAATGATTTAAATATTTAATGATTTGATGATTTAGTAATGATTTGATAATAATCATTATAGTAATGATTTGATAATAATCATTATAATAATGATTTAGTAATAATCATTATAAAAATGATTTAATAATGATTTAAATATTTAATGATTTGATGATTTAGTAATGATTTGATAATAATTATTATAATAATGATTTTATAATAATTATTTAGTTATTATTTAGTAATTATTTATAATAATGATTTAATACTAATGATTTAATAATTATTACTAATAATTATAGAATACTAACAAATGAGTGTACAAGTGTGGATTACTGAGTTTAAATTTATACATAGTCGAATTTATTAATGATTTTTAAATATTTAATGATTTGATACTAATGATTTACTAATTATTATTAATAAGGATTTATTTTTAATATTTAATTATTTGATACTAATGATTTAAAATAGTTGATTTACTAAATATTTAATTATTTGATACTAGTAATGATTTGATACTAAAAATCATTGTTAAGGTTAAAAAACTAGTCTAATTTCAATAAATAATTTGTAATAAATAGCAAACGAGTTTACAATTGTTGTCGATGCCGGGGTGTTGTTGAATGATAATGTCGGGGCGGACGTCTGATACGTTGTGGCCGTTGTGGCTCAGGAGTATTGTACCCATCCCCCTCTTTCATTGGGGGTATTTGAACTGTCATGTGTTCAAAGTCATACGTCGACGAAAACGTAGGAGAATAGATGGGTGCCTCAGGCTGCACAAACTCTGGTATGTATGCCGGGACAGTAGAATCATCAACTGCGTGATGCAACGATTGTGGTGCGCTATTATCCACATCGGTCATTTCCGCTTCAGGTTGTAGAGATGAACTCCCACTCCCACTCGGTAGAGAGTATTCAGCTTTACCAAATATTTTTTTAAACCTCAAAAATTGTCGCCTCTCTACTATTGTTGTGAGGAACGGCTTTCCATTATCCAAAAAATAAGCAAGGTAAGCCGAAGTCTCAAAATTAAAGTCGTCGTCTTGAATGGCGTCAAGAGTTGGCATGAATGAAGCCCTATTGTTCCAAGCATTAATATAGGTTGCATGCTTCTCAACCCAATTAACGCTTTCTTTACGACGACCATCAAATCTGTGCAGGTCGTCATGCGTCTCAACCCAATTCACTGGACGACGACCATCTAAGTTTTGGATGAGGTCATGATCCCATGGACTCCGCGAAATAGGTTGGTGGAAGTGGAATTGCCTCAGCACTCTATCCCCAAATTGGATCTCAACAAAAGCAAAATTGATCAATGGTGTAACAGCAAACCAATATTGAAACCCATCTAAAATATCGTGCGGTATCAACGCAAATAATTCTTCATTCATGTATGGTCTCCAATTAAACTGTAAAATTACAAAAATAATAAAATTGATTTAAATCAAATAATATAGTTAATTTAAATAATAATTAAAAAATACAGATTATGCATACCTCCTTTTTGGCCTTAATGTCGATCTTCAACATGAACTCTTTAATGTTATTGTGCACCAACCCTGTGCCTTCAATTTTATGCCTCCATCTGTATATCAATCAAAACAAAAATAGAGACATTTTGTTCAATAATTTTAATCAAAATAAATATTTTTTAATTAATATTTTATATTAAAATAGAGGATTCATATTACCTTCCGGCAAGTGGAAAGTCAACCGCAGTCCGACTAATCGGTGTCAAAAACGGAAGTCTATGCCAAGCCAATGATTGTAGCAGCAACAGACATCCACCGATTTCTATTGTATTATTATCATTCACGACTAATGACGCCTTGCACATCTCACGATACAAGAACGCCAATATCGCCGAACCCCAGCTATATTGCCTACAATTCTCAAAATTTGTTAAAAAAAGAAGATACTGAGTGTGAACATAACTACCAGATTTATCAGACATCAAAATTCCCCCAATCAATTGTAATATATATGCTCGTGTTGCATATATAATTCCGTGCTCCGTACTATTTGGTTGAAGTTGAAATTCATTCTTCAACCATGACAACCTCACCCGCCACCCTCTACACTCTGGTGGTACGGGCGCTTTCCCAAGAAACAAGTTGCAAAGTTGTTCCACCTTATTAAACTCATGTGACATTACCACCGGCATCCCATTAGTTTGGACCCCGAGTTGCATTGCCACATCCTCCAAAGTTATCGTGCATTTGCCACACGGCAAATGAAACGTGTGCGTTTCTGGTCTCCAACGTTCAATCAACGCACTAATCAAACCTGGGACCAACTTGTAATCTTGCACAAATGTTATATACCAAAATCCAGCCTCTTGCAAATTTTCTTCTATCAGTGGGTGTGGCTTGGGCACTTTATGTAGTCGAAGACGAAGGACTCGCTGCTCGTCCTCCTACAATTAAATATTTCAAAAAAATTATCACAATCATAAAATAATATTCAAATATTTATTAATTATAATTCATTAAACAAATATTTTATTCACCATTATTCCCAAATGACTTGAAATATGCTCATTGTCAAGCCTCAACAGTGGAATTTGGTCAGCTATTGGAATGAATCTGTAAAAAAAATTAAACAACAATATTTAAAAAATCATTTAATATAATCTAATATAAACTAACTAACTAATTTACAACACTAAAATTTAATATAATAACTTATAATATAATAAACTAATAAACTAACAAACTAAACTTTTTAAAATATAAGTTAAACGTAAACGCTAAACCCTTAAACAACTAATAAAATATTCTTTTATATAACTAAAACTAACTAATAAACTATTTTTTCATTATAATATACTACTAATAAACTTACTAACTAATTTTTTATATAATATAAATTCAACAAACAAATATAACTTAACTATTTAACTAACACAAACTAATTAAATAATTTTTTTATATAACTAACTATTAACAAAACAAACTAATTAATTATTTTTTAACTATATAACTATCAAACATATACTAATTAAATAATTTTTAATTTATGTATACTATAACTTAAACTAACAATCATATAACCCTAAACTAACAAACTAATTAACTGCTTTTTGTTTTACCCTAAACCCTAAACTAACAAATTAAACATTTATAATAATAAACTAATTTAAATATAAAAAAATTTACCTTATCTCCCTTTCTTCTTCTTACTTTCCTTTCTCCCTTTCTTTCTTTCTCGGCTGCAGTCTTTTCTCTCTTTCTTCGGCTGCAACCTCGGCAACCAAGCTCTGGCTGCAATCTCTTCTCCCTTTATTTCTTTCTTTTATGTTCTCACGATAATGCACACCCCATATATAATTTAGGTGTCACCGGCTGCCTCAATTATTTCACCAATAATTGTGCAATTGCAGCTATGATAGCAGCTGATTTCACGCAGCAATGGTTCAATAATTGTACCAATAATTCACGGCTCAAATGGTTCACATGCATGCATCAATAGCTGTAGGCATGCAGCGGGGAGCAGGAGGGGAGCACGTGAAGGAATCTCAGTTGTGGCTGCATGTGCATGCATGAGGTCTCGTGAGCTAGGACTACATGGCGACCTACTTGGTCGCCGGGACTACATGGCGACCTACAAGGTCGCCGGGACTACATTGCGACCTACAAGGTCGCCCAGATTGCATGGCGACCTCTCCATTGGCTCTATCTACAAGATCGCCTGGATTGCATGGCGACCTATGGCCATCACTGTAGAATTCACCCCATTTCAACAATTAATCTGGGATGTGCATTATCTCGTGAATAAAAAAGTTCGAGAACATTATCTCGTGAATTCACCCCATTTAATTGGTTGTAAACTGTTTTTTTAGCAGCTTGCTGCTTCCATTTGGATGAAATAGATTGATTATCCAAAAAGAAAATATTTTTCATAAAACAAAATAAAAAAAGTATAAAATTTATTTTCGCGATACAAATCCTATAATTCATGGACAAAGAAAAATGCGTGAAACAAAGCCCAGTAATTACCCTCAAATTTGAGCACTAATTATGATGAAGGCCTAATTTTAGATCCAAATTCAAATTCAAATTCAAATATAACCAATGGCCCAACAGAGAAGGTTAAACTCGTCATTTAAGACTATATATATATCCATGGTCTAGGGTTTTGTTTTCTCTTTCCCACTCGCTTAAAGCTTAAACTCTTTGTATGCACTTCCGCTCCACCGCCGGCAAAATCCACAGATCCATCGACAATGGTAGGAATTTTTGAAGTCGGCGCCGTTCCGTTTAATGCCGACGGCTGGGGTCCGCTGGAATCTTCCACCAACTTGCCAGCCGCCGCTACAACCCTCCCTCTCCACGTTCCTTTTGCTCCCTTCTCCCGCTCCGAAAAGCTCGGTCGAATCGCCGACTTCACCAGGAATTTCGCAAATGCCAACCCATCGAACCGCCCTACTTCAGGAAAGCCCGGCTCAGCCTCCGAGTCGCCCTTCGATTTCTCTCTCGACCTCGATGCTTTCCCTCTTGCAAACCCGGAAGATGATTCCTCTTTCCGATTAGTCGACGCCAAGCCGCCCACTCGGCCTAAATTTGGCCCTAAGTGGCGATTCAACCAAAACCGACCTCAACTCCCTCAACGACGGGACGAAGAAGTCGAGGCCCGTAAAAGAGAGGCTGAGAAGGAACGAGCCCGCCGCGACCGGCTTTATAATCTCAACCGGTCGAACCAGAACCAGCAACGTCGTGAAGCGGCGATTTTCAAATCATCTGTCGATATCCAACCAGAATGGAACATGCTCGATCAAATCCCTTTCTCAACATTCTCCAAATTGTCCTTTACCGTGCCCGAACCAGAAGATTTACTTCTCTGCGGCGCTCTAGAGTATTATGATCGGTCCTTTGATCGAATCACACCGAAGAATGAACGACGACTCGAGAGGTTTAAGAACAGAAACTTCTTTAAAGTCACCACGACTGACGATCCAGTGATCCGAAGGTTAGCCAATGAGGACAAAGCCACTGTTTTTGCCACTGATACGATTTTGGCTACGTTAATGTGTGCATCCAGGTCAGTTTATTCTTGGGATATTGTTATTCAACGTGTTGGGAATAAGTTATTTTTCGATAAAAGAGATGGGTCACAGTTAGATTTTCTGTCTGTCCACGAAACATCTCAGGAACCATTGCCTGAGGCTAAAGATGATATTAACTCTGCTTATTCATTGAGTGTTGAAGCTGCTTATATAAATCAGAACTTTTCACAGCAAGTTTTGCTTAGTGATGGGGATAAGGTATCTTTTGATGAGCCGAACCCATTTGCCAATGAAGGTGATGAGGTGGCTTCTGTGGCATATAGGTATAGAAGGTGGAAGCTTGATAATGATATGTATTTGGTTGCTCGATGCGAGGTTCAGAGCGTTGTTGAGGTTAATAATCAAAAGTCTTTCCTTACTTTGAATGCACTGAATGAGTTCGATCCCAAGTATTCTGGTGTTGATTGGAGGCAAAAGTTGGAGACACAAAGGGGGGCTGTTTTGGCCACTGAGTTGAAGAACAATGCAAATAAGTTGGCTAAATGGACTGCTCAGTCAATTTTAGCTAGTGCTGATTTGATGAAATTGGGATATGTTTCTAGGGTGCATCCTAGGGATCATTTTAACCATGTGATATTGGGTGTTGTTGGCTATAAGCCAAAGGATTTTGCTGCACAAATTAATTTGAACACTGCGAATATGTGGGGGATTGTGAAATCTATTGTGGATTTGTGTATGAAGTTGAATGAGGGGAAATACGTGCTTGTGAAGGATCCATCGAAGCCTCAAGTGAGAATTTATGAGGTTCCAGCTGATGCTTTTGAGAATGACTATGTGGAGGAACCATTGCCAGAAGAAGAACAGGTACAGCCACCGGCTGAGGATGCTGAAGGTGGGGAGGCCAATGGCACTACAAATGATGTTGAAGAAAAAGAGATTGAGGCACAAACTTAATGGTAATGATTCTTTTGGAGATTTATCAAAATGAGTATATTCCTATGCATTATGTGGTAAGAGCTTCTCAAAGCTTTTCACGCAATGATAAGTATGTCAATTAATTACCCTTGCTTTATGTTATAACTTATGTATCTACTTGTATGAACCAATTATGTTCGTAGCTTCATGCAAATTATACTAGTTCCGCACAAGCATTTATAAGATGTTTTTCTTTTCTGCTACGGAAATTGACTGAAATCATAGGAGAGCACATTCTATGATTACTTTGTATATCTTGCTACCATAGTCTTCCAGAATAATGGTCAACTTTTCTTTCTTCTATTTTACCATTACTCATAAAATTTGAAAAGCTAAACTAAAATACTGCCCTTAAGCTTTTAACACCTTTAAATAAGTCCTATATTTTTAGTATAACTTGTATTCTAATATACCCTGAACTTTTAATATATACCTAAATAAGCTCCTAACTTTTAATGTAGTTTTAAATAGATCCTTAACATAAATCAACCTTCCCCTTGAAATAAGTGTTTTCTTAGGTACAAATCAAAGGACTAGTGGCTTATATGTAAGTGAAGGGGATTATATAAATAAAGCAGTAAAGTTTTAATGGCTTTTTCAATATTTTGTTCAATGCTTTTCCTAATAACATTTTTGTTGAACTTGAAATGTTTATAGAAGGATTTATTTAACAAAACAAAGGCTTTCTTAGGAGGTCTTTGTTGAACTTGAAATGCAATGTATTTATTTCGTTTAGACTTTAGATTTGAAATCTTGATTTGCTTGGTTAGTTGGGAAAGACAAGGTATGGCATGCAAATTTCTGGTAGAATTATACTGATGCAGTCATTGGTTTGTATATAAGTTGTTGATTGGCATACTTATCATGTTGTGTGGATGCTTTAATCTTGATTTCTTGCTATGTTAATTGTCTGATGCTATATTGGGCGTTGATTGCCACAGATTATTTGAGAAGTATCCCACAGCAATCTCAAAGTAGTCCCCTATATCCTGCGATCTGCAAGCTGACTTTGTTAGGGAGGTTTTGTAAGTGCATTTATTTTAACTTTCAAAGTGAAACCAAAGCATGCTCAGAATTGATTCTTTGCCTTTGTGACATTCGTTTTACTTTTTATTTCTATGGTCTACCAGATTTACCAGTTTCTGCATTTTTGTTTGTGATTTTTTAGTTGCAATATACAGATGAAATTACCATCACAATTAAATTTACTTATCATAGTGTACAAAGGATTCAAGTTGGAATAATTGTGGACAGGGTTTGCATACAGTCCAATATCTAATCGCTCAAAACCTAAGGGTTTTAACTTTTGTCAATAACTTATGTACTTCTGTCGTTAATTTAAAGTTAATATAAAACGATTTTAATCTAAAAAGTTGTACAAATTTATAAAATTATTTGTTGCAATTGAAAAATCATATTTTGGGATTTAAGGTTTATAATAAAAAATGTAGTGAATATGATAATTTTTTTTGTTGTAATTGAAAATATTATTCTATTTAATCTTAAAAGTTATACTCCTAGCAAGTTCTTTGTTTACAATCGACTCCTGTCATCTTATATTAACGAGTTGTATTTTAAAATTTTCTCAATAAAGTCGAGGTTTTATTATCTTATGCTTCTTGATGTGATATTTTTGCTCTAGAACATCCAATTTTGGGCTTCTTCGATTTGGGCTCATTGTTACCGCATTCTTTTAGTAAATATATTTTGATATTCGAATTTGGTTTGAAAGTTTGATTTGATATTTAATTTTTTGTTCTACTTAAATATTTGAATTCAGGCTTTAAAGTCCAATTTGATACTATTTAAATTTGATTTTAAGGTTTAATTTGGTATTATAAGTTCTTTTTTATTATTTAAATCGTGAAATCGGGTTTGGAAATGGTTTAAACTAAAAAGTCAAGTTTTAGTACCTAAATGATAAAAAAAAAATAAGTTTTGTATCAAATTTGATTAAAAAAAAGTAAATAGACATCAAATTGAATAGAAGATTGAAAATGTATATTTAGCCTATTTGTTTCGATTTTGGAAAAAAATATTTTTATTTTTTTGAATAGCTTGAGATTATTACAAGATAATATTTGTTCATAATTTTTTTAATATATTGATAACATATAAACTCTCTGTAAATATAATTGTTCAAACTAAATACTTTAAAAAAAATAATCTTATCTTTTATTGCTAGGTGACGTTTAGAAAAGTTTTATTATGACTGGCTTGTTGAGGCAGTTAAGCCCTGTAGCGGTAGCTGTTTTATTTGGGAGGAAGAGGGGAAAACAGGCCATGAATAATTTTCTAACTTGTTCTTCTATGTTATTGGCCAACTTAAAATGGCATGAAACATAGGAATTAAGCAACCCAGAAAGTTAGATTATATTAATACAATTTATCATCATAAATTTAGAAACATTGAAACAATTAACGTCATCTGAATATTATTTATAAAACTACTTTTTGTTACGAATATATCATATAATAATCCATTTATGCTAAATAAGGAAAACAGAGTAAAATACTTTTCAACACTGCACACCAACCCAACCCTTCTGAGTCATAGAGTTGTTAACTTGACAAAGCCTTTAACTTTTGTAGAACCCATTAAGAGAAACTATTGATAACTAAGTGTTGTTCTTTATCAAGGTAATGGGTTAGGAAAAAAAAATGCTTACAGAGTGTGAATTTATTGTCAATTGACCAATAAAATTCTGAATAAATATTACTTTGTAACCGTAATCACCTCATACTAATTATATAAAAAAAAACTTTTATTTAAAAACTTTCTATAATTAGGATACCAAGAAAATCTTTTTCTTTTGAGAAAAAAATTCTATAATTAGTAGTAATGCCAATAACAATCGAGGAAGTTAAACATAACCTAACACTGCCTACTACCATCATATTCAGGGGCGGACCCAGGAGGTTGCTAGGGGTAGCCCGGGCAACCCCTCAAATTATGAGGAATATTGATCAAATGATATTATTTTAGTATTTTTATATATATATTTTGTGATTTTTAGGTAGAATTCCTATATTTCAGATAAATTCTTATAAAAAAAAATTTTATACAACAAAATTGTCTACTTAGTGTTAATTTTTCTAATTTTTTTTAATTAATACAAGTGTCACCTTTAATATTGTGCAACCCCTAAAAAAATTTATAAGAATTTTTTTGTGCAACCCCTGAATTTTTATCCTGGGTTCGCCTGATCATATTCCAATTCCTCAACTGAAGACCATATTTACCTATTAGTCAATGGTTGAACTAAAATTATAATGACATCAATTTTACCATAAAAATATTAATTATATTCAAATTGATAAATTTAAACTCATTTTTTTAATAATGAAACTTTAAAAGTGTATTTTTTATATTCGATTTGAATATAAAATAATATTGAATTGAAGCTTGCTTGCATCATAATAATCTACGGGTTGTCCAAAATCTATAGCAAAAACCCACATTGTTACTTGACAAAAGTTGTAACGGTAAACTATACGTTTAATACATAAATTATATTTTTATTTTGTTCTAGTATTTAAACTTTATTTTTTTTAAATCATTCTTAATGTGTAGTTTAAGTTTCATTTTGATACTTCACCGTTAAAAACTTAACGGTCGTGTAACCATAAGATCATTGAAAGATACAAAAAAAATGTCGTATCAGTAATTATGCTATTTTTTAATAACAGAATTTCAAATTAAAACTTAAACTAAACATTAGATATGATTTTTAAAACAAATTGAGTACCAAACAGAACAAAATATTAGTCCGAGTTGTAAATTAAATAACATTAATTAATGCATGCGATAGTAATAAAAGGAAATTCCTGGATAAAAACTACGCATATATTGTATAAAATGATGTATTCAAATACTATTATTTGTTTACATTTATTCAATTTGAATGTGTGAATATAAAATTTTATATGAAAAAATATTTTAACTTTAAATTTTATTGTATCTTTTTAATTATTTTTTTATATTTGATGTGAGCTCTGATTATGTTTAAAATTAAATCAGTTTAAACTCTTAAAAAGGTCGATTTCTCTTCAATATATTTTATTGTATCTTTTTAATTAAACTTTTATTTAAATAAATATTTATCATTATTTGATTCAATAAATATAGATAATATAATATTTTTTTGTCTGAAGAAACTGTTAAAATATCCTCGAAAACGTACAATATTCTCATCCAAAAGCCGAGCTCTGATTCTATCATTTTACCCTAAATGTCTTAACTTTTTCTTCCTTTGATGTCCAAAGTTCAAAAAGCTATCTTTTTCCACTCCATGATTGCCAAACCAAAGGAACAACGTTCATGATTTTAATGTCTTATATATATTATATTATACTATATTATTTACGATAAACTATTTAGTTTCCTTTGATCACTCATCCTTCAAAAATTAATAGAACTGTCGACGTGGTATTTTTTTTATTTTTAATGATGGCTTGATATTATCTTATTATGACACATCAATAGTTTTATAAGTTTTTTAATGAAAGGTGACCAAAATGAAATCAAAACATAACATTGGACATGGTTTTAAAAAAATAGTTGAGTGACCGAAACATAATAAAAGTAATTGTTAGAATAGTAAATATGCAATTTACCCTGTCATTTAATAAAATTGTATCAAAATTTTATATATATAAAAAGAAAGGGTCCCACGATTACAAACAATTAAAAGCTAAATTTAATCAATCAATATAATTGAGGTTATGAACCCTATTTTCAAATACCAAATTAACTTATAATTCAGGTTGGTTCAGATTTATTTTAGTTGTCATGCTCAAGTCCCATAAGACTCAAGTTACTTTAAGTCTTGTTAGGTGGATTTAGGTTTGGTGATGGTCCTCGTGGACAAGGGATAGATTTAGAGGGGTGGTCACACCTTTCTAAAAAATTTAAATTTGTTTGTAATTTTTATTAAAATTCTGTTTTGGTTTTATTTTAAAATTTTATATATGTGTCTCGTTTAACATAAAATTTTGTGTCAGTCTATACTTATGGAATTGGGTAAAATTGAACTTATACTTATTTTAAATTCGATCCAATTTTTATATATTTTCATCTCAAATATATTTTTAAAAAATTGATGTCTAATTAGAGATTTATTGGCTTTGATCAAAATGAAACGTGACAGAGTCGAGAAATGATGATAAATCATTTTTTTTTAATTTGAATGAAGAGCTATATACGATAGTTGCGAGAGATATGAATGTTATAAATAAGAATAGACAAAGGAGGCGAGAGTGATCGCTATTTTAAAAAATTTCAAATAAATATATTTTATTTTCAATTAACAATATATTTTCGCTCTTTTCAAATTTTATATATAAATTTATGTATTCTTAAACTTTTAAAAATTCGCCCATTCCTGATTACAAGGAGTCCTTCTCCCTTTTATTTGCATTCCTACCTTCCATAACTGGGCGCTGATGCAATAGGTTCATGGGAGGTTGGTGAATGTGCAGGTGGCTCGAAGATTGGTGGCATCGGATGAGATTTTCCATGTATCCCTTTGTTTTAGCCTCAATGTACTCTATTGTCAGGGCTATATGTACTAATATCAATAATATAAATATTTGGTATAGTATTTATCATTTTTTAATAGATTGAGATTATTGCACTATAATATTTATTTAGAAATTTTTTATTAATTAATAATATATATTTTACAAATATAATTATTTAAATCAATTTTTTAAAAAAGTATTATTTTTTATCACTGATACATTTTATGAATTTAACATTTACTGTTTAATTAAGAAAAAGATATAAAATTAATATTTTTGAGATTTCTATTGTATTAATAAATTTGTGATAATGATAAACACTTCATCACTTTTAATCTGGATAGAGGATTACACCATTTAATTGTCATATTGAGTGTTGATCATTTTCTTAGAGATATTTAAATGTTCTTTTGGAACTCTCATTCTAGAAGCCTTTTATGCTCTCGAAAGGTCCATATATTCAATTAGACGTTTTTGGAGGTTAGCCGAAGGCATAGAATGGCAAATTTTAAAAAATGAAATATATTCAATTAAAAGTTCTGAATTTATATTTATTTATGAATATTATATTAATTACGATTTAAAATAAATATGAAATATTTAAACATCAATTATTGAATCATT